TAGATATGGAAGAGCATGTTCTACGCATAAACATTTTTAAAACGAGGTAAATTATTGACAAACAAGTTGATGAAACGTTTAAAGTCATCATTTCGTAACAATGACCTTGGCAGACAATACAATTTATCATTAAGTCATTGTTAGGCCATTATATACATACTGAGTTGTTCACGAATTTTTTCGTTATTTCGCGATCATGACTAGGATCACACGGAGGTGTGAACGGTCTGCAGGGAACGATTACTCCTCCATGGCACCCAGACTCACTAAAGTCATCATTTTACACGTTCGATGTTCGCTTCAATGACCTTGCAATTGTCAACAAATACAATCTATCATTAGGTCTTATTCTGACTAATTTTTTTTTCTTCAAAATACTTTTTGTTAAATCATTATTTACTCTAAATTCTGTATTTTGTTCACGAACAGCTGGGGATACCCATTCCTCTATGGCCTCTGATCTCAACTGTGATGATTAAGAGGGCTGTTATCGTTAAGCTGCAGATTTGTACTCTTTGAATGGCTTTTCGATCTTCGTATTTCATTAATATTACAGAAATAAAGAAAGAACACATGTAGCTAGTAAATGCATTGTACTAAGTCAACATGGTGGCCGAACAAGGACTTACCAATGAATATCATAAACCTTTTAATATGCTATTCATGATTACTGAGATGTTATAATTCGAGTTTGCTTGTAGTTTGCATATACATGTATTTGTTTAAAACTAGAGGATTTTGTCCGTTATGAATAAGTTTTCCAACGTCTCCAACTATCATTGTTGCCCTGACATACCCAACACACTAGACAGTGATCTTATAAGTGTCCTGTGATTTAAACCTTGTGTATCCTTACCACTTTATTACTTTATTTCCCTTTAGTTGTGGCTTAAGATGACAAGCATATATTTTAAATATCAAATAAAAATGTATTCTTATAATTTCTTTAGGTTCTCGTGAACCTAATTTAGTCCTTGCACTGCAATGTTTTAATTTCAATAAATATTATTAATAAGGCAATGCATTATAAATGAGGACATTGCACCCACTTTTTAATAATTTTAGAAAGCAAAACAATATTTTAATAATGTGGAATTTATGAACTTCTTGTAAGGAATAAATCATAATGGGAGCGTCTCCATTTTAGCCTAAAAACCGACACTTAGGTAATTTTTAAGTCACTTTGAAGCAGACTTGTGCCAATATACATTGTACATGTTGTAAGGGCTATTGTGTTTCTTACATACCGAAAATTATGAAATTATACTGAAAGAATATTTATATAAAAACAATTTTTTATCATTTCTGAATAGATCAAATGCATATTTTAAAAAAAACAAAAACAACAAGCAAACAAACAAACAAAAAACATTCATAGCGTTTGCAGAAAGATCATAATTGATAAACAGACATTTTTCTGTCCTTACTAACATGATCCAGGATGCATAGCGTTAAAAATATATTAAAGGGAAATTAAAAGATATATATTTAAGATTTTCGTAAAGAGAAATTTAAAAAATATATATTTAAAAAAAGGTAAAACACATTTGTCTGTGCTCAATGCTTAACATGCCTTTATTCGAATTTAAAAATGCAGTTAACTTCTCTATATTATTGACACGATGTAAAACTTACATCGAAAATGCGAGGTAATCCAAAAGTAATGTCATTTTTTTTTTTTTGAGTTTCAAGTTTCAAGTTTTTATTTAAGACAAAGACCCCAACTGGGGTATATGAATAAAATAATACAAAATGTTAACATATAAACAAAATGCATGAATGAATGAATGGAAGATCTCTAATTTTATAAAAAAAAATAATTTTTTTTAGAGTTATCGTTCCTTGTTGATTGATAATAATTTTTAGAGTTATTGTTCCTTGCTGAGACGATTCTTAAGGACACAGACTACCAATTATTTTGCTATACATTCCTTTATAACATAAAAAATATTTTTAAAAATTACACCGGCTCAACTTACCTGAAACTTGGCACAGAGTAAGACCATTTCAAGTCCAAAAATTTATAAAGTTCTCAGGAACATTCATAGTCTGCAAGTCCTTTTATGGCATCGCAAATAACCCCTACCCTGCTTTTTTCACTTTCTCTTCGAGGAAAGGGTAAATATGGGCCTCTTTACACCCTTCCTACTACGCACTTAAAAGCAAAATTTCCCATTATTATCATTTTTATAATTTTTTTCAGACCCTCTCCTTTCCATTTATGCCCAAAAATAACCGCTTTCTACTCCATAAACAACCCAAAGAATTTTTAAGAAAAAACCTCTATTTTTAAACTGGAACTACTTGAGTGGTCAATGAGATAGGGGTAAAATTAGTAGTCTGTAACCTTAAGAACCCTCTCTACACTGCACACTAAAGAGTTCTGATGCTAAGGTATTTTTCTGCAGTTAGAGTGATCTGCCCTTAGATCTAAATTCTAAAAAATAGAAATTTACAATGTATTACTCAATTTGCAATTAATTTTAGTATTCTGATCATTTTAAAGGGCCAAGATAAATCAACTAAACCTGTTATTTACATGTATTTTCTCTACTGAAGCAATTAACAATGATTTCCATTCAGTGATACTGTGTTGTCTTTGAAAATTTTTCCCGGGGGTAAATGCCAGGCACCAGACTGTGAAAATTAAATAAATATGCTCACTATATTAACTCCTTTATACAATATATTCTTCCCAATTTCCAAAAAAAAAAATTTGCACTTGTGTAGAGAGGGTCCTTAATATGGAAGCATTCTTTATATTTGTACATAACGGATTTTCCTATAATTTTTTTTAATTAATCTAAAATCTTCAAACATGAAGTTTTTATCCCGAAAAATTATAAAGATATATAACATGGTTTTATTTTTTAGTTCAAGTACTAATTTTAGCATTTGTTAATCGGCCCTTTCGACATATAGCAATGCATAATATTTAGAAATGAATCGTCTGCAGATTTTTCTGTTTACTCCATCATGAAAAGGAGTACACATAGATGCTTACTTCATCTACTTTCTGATGTTTTAGAGGTCTAGATTTTGCTGTGCTCTCAATGCAATTTGTATTGATTTCATGTTTGTGCTTAACTGTTGTTTATATTCATCTTTCATGAAAAAGGAAATTTTGACAACTTTGCAAATAACCTAAGCACTTGTTGATTTTAAAATATTATATCTGTACTTTCTTATAATTAAATTTAAATTGTTACGCACTTTCTGATTGGCTGAAAATTTTAAATATATTGAGGAAACTGGGTTGCCTACGCCAAAATGACTTTTGTCAATAAAGTTTTAATCCGCTTGACGAAACATTTTAATTTTGTGCAACTAAATGTCTCTTTTTAACGGTAGAAAATTAAATTATAAGGAATAAACTTGATATAGCTACCCAAGTTATACGGTATAACAGTATACGTTTATTTATAACTCGATTCGTTTATAAAGCGTAAACTGTCCCAACCCAGGTAATGCCGCATTACTTGTTAACTTAAATTCATTCCTGACATAAAAAAAGGACGGGAGACAAAAAGACGATGGAGACAAAAAAAAAATATTCATGAGACGTCTCATTTATCATGCGTTTCCGTCATTTTGAAATTTGTTTGCCTGCACTGGGTCATGTCATTTTAATGTTATTTTAATTTGTAGTGTCACACTTGAATGCATCGCTGGTTCGGAGCTTGTGGAGGTAATTTCTATATAAAATGACAGAATATATGAGTATCACATGTGTTTATACTTTAAGAAATGGTTAAAGATATGTATGCCGTGTTAAACATTTTTTTTTTTTGCACAGCTGAAACCAAATAAAAATTTTTGAAGTATGATAAGCTATCAAAAATAAAGCATTCCTGCAAATTCGACGAAATGTTATTCGATATTAACAAAGTACTGGTCGGGAAAAGAACACGATATTCTCATGCATATTTATAAAGGACTGACGTCTATGCTGGATCTGCGCATGTGCGCGGGAAATGCATCGCGAGAATCATCAGGTCGAGGAAACTATTTTTGTAACGTCTGTTCACTCAGTGAGGAACCAACATGACTGACAAATCGACCAATCAGCTCAATGAGTTGCATTTAATGCATTTATGGGTTACTACATAAAATACGCTTCGTGCATTATGTACATTATTATCTACTAATCCCAAAATAAGAATTTTCCCCCTCTCCATTGTACAGGTCCGTTTGTTTACAGTTTCCCCATGCTGTTCTGTCAGTGAAGAGACAATTTCACGTGACTATTACTCGGTACAAAAAGCAACCAACTCTGAGGTGTGCTCACGTATTGACAATGTTTACAATGTGTACAACTTCGAAACATACAACTTATGCTACTCAATACGCGTTCTACGATCAATACACATGAGAATTAATATAGAGGTTATTAAAAAAAATGTAAACTGTCATTTGAAATCGAATCCTTAATATCCCTAACCCACGTGTTTGTAGTAAAAACGTAGTAGACCATCATGTTTTTCGGCTCATTCACGAGAATGGACCATTGTTTGCTGTGAGCATGCGAGACCACGTGAACATGAATATTTCGATAAGAGGCGGTTTAATATCCGACTCGGAGAGAAAATATTTTTTACCAAATAATATTTCATAACTTTCAAAAGTGATGGAGTGGAAATGTCTTATTTGCAGAAAGTATGTAACTTATATAACTTGGTGAAACACCACATATATTTATTTCTTAAAAAATAGAACACTAATACGGCATATATATCTTTAATACATGTAAATTCCCCTGAATGATCTACCTCCTTTTGAGAATTTGTAACTTTTGGTGCTTTCTTGGTGCTGGGTAATTTTTACAAATTGAATTAATGATTAATCTACTATATTTAACAAAGAAAAACGCATAATTTTAAAAGAGTCCATGGGCATATCAATAAATTTATTCTGCCCTCAGCCATGTTAACTTTATTCAGACAAACACAATTTTTTGCGTTGATTATATAAATTGATAAGTATTATCAGAAGAATCTTGGTATGGTTTTAAATTCTTTAATATACATGTAATAAACTTAAATTCAAAACAAAACGGTTTATTTATTTCCATAACACAGACAAAGGAACACAGAACAAGACTGCAAGTTATGTGTAAACAGAAAATGTGAATTAAAATGACCCGGTAGGAAGAAAATTGATTGATTACTTATTTGACCGTTAGGGGTCGCCAAGTGTCAGTTTTGGGATCCCTACAACCACACTGACACTTATCTTTAGGGCATCTGTCTCTTTCACACAAGCTTAAACAAAACCAGTTAATGCCCTTAATGTCTTTAAATTCTCCAGAGCCTATGCATTCCAGTGTTTCTCCAATGAGGCATACCAGTTTATCACTGGAATCCACAATGTATTGTTTTTCTAGCATGTATTGTCGCCTGCTGGGTCTGTACTCGCGTTGTTTTATTCCACGCGTGCTCCTCCTCAATCTGAATGTTCGTGGATCCGCAATCTGTGATTCTCGTGGAGCTGACAATTGGCTGCCTCGTGCGATTCCAGTGTTTGACAGTGATCCGGCCTGCTTTTTGATGGTGAAATCTTGTGGACCGATATTACGTGGGCTCTGGGATAAAGAACCTCCACCACTCACTGCACTCATAGATCCACCACCTCCGATACTGTCCTTGGCATGTAAAACCAGGTTAGCTCCCAGAGATTTAGACATGATTACAGCGCCACTTCCCTGTTGGTCCACATTTTGAAGCCTATTGACCATTCCTAAATCCATTAATGAACCACTTGGACCGACCACTAGAGGGCCATTCTTGTTGCCGCTAAGTCCCCCCTCTCCGTACGCAACGGTATTTTCCAGTTGCAAGACGGGGGGTCTTGTATTTCTACCGAATCCTTCATTGTTGTTTGATACAAAGCCTGCATGTGGATTTTCCTCGGCTATTGAATCAAACGATCCCTGGGCAAACTCGTATGGTCCCTGAGCAAATCCTTGCTGGTTCTTTTGTAGGTTGTTAACTGGATCACCATTATTAAATATATATTCACTGATTTGTATATCGTTTACTGGTTCACCCCATCCAACGGGATCCTGTGATCCTTTCCTTACATTGTTACCAAATCGAAAGGGTTGACGTGTTGTTGGAATGTCTACTGGTATTCCCATCATCTGGTTGTCAAAAGCGCTTAAACCTGGAGATCTGTCTCGATTGGACTGTCGCTCGGAATACCGCAATAGCATATTCATATCCGGGCTCTCCAAGACATTCTGTCCCTGATTAGGAGGGATATTTTTTAAAAGACTTGGTCCGTAATTGTGCGTCGTATCATATGGGTATCCTATTTTCGTAGAGGGACTGTAGTTTGCCTGTCCCTTTGGAGATTCTGTAGATAAAAGCTGGTTAAATAGCGCCTTATTATCCATCAGCATGTCAATATTCACGTTTTTAAATATTGCTTGGGCAATCTTTTTTTTGTCTACCCCATGCTCATACATTTCTCGATATTTCCTAAGAATTTCAGCTACAGCTGGTTTTTTACTCGTCGGTGGTGCTGATGTGACAGTAGTTACTTTACGAGTAGTGGTGGTGATTCTAGTTGGTGTTGTACGCGCTGAAAGGTAAATTTATTAGCTAATGGTCAGTTTTTTTGCATTGTTCTTTTAACTAAACAGTAAACAAAAATTGTAAGAATTTGTCTAAGAAGAATACATGATCAAAAATCATTTTTTTTTAAATTCAAGGGTGCCTTATTAAACAAAAGAAAAGGCTTGAATTAAAATATTAGTTACGTTGGATTACCTTGCATAGGTGGGCTCCAACGTCTGACAGATATAGGATTGTCAAAATCTTTGATCAATATTGGATCTACTGGCATGATGTTAGCCTGACCTTTTCTAGGTACTCTTGTAGTGAAACGAGTAGTTGAAGGACTTGTTGATTTTGCTTTGCTTTTTTCAAACAGGTTCTGCAATTCTTGTTTAATCAGAGGTGGAATCGGTATATTGGCATTCTTTGCCTTTTCAAGAAATTCAAAATAGCTTATGGGTGTGGTTGAGCCTGGTAGAGTTATCATTTTATCGGCGAGTGTTACTAGCGGTTTTCTTGTTGTTTGTGTTGTTCTCAGTGAAGTTTTTACTGATGTCGAAGGCCTTGCTGATGTTGTGGTTTCTGTTGTTGTTGTTTGGGTAGTTGTCCTTATACTTGTCGTGGGAGGGTCCGTCAGTTCGGCGACAGGTTCTGTAGCGGCGGTTATGGGGTCTGTAGTAGGCTCGTAAGTCGTTGAAGTCTCTGTAGCATCCGTTGCTTTTGTGTTGTATAGTTTATTATAAACGTCCGGATGGAACTCCATCAATAACTGCTGAAGTAGCATCTTTTCTGAGAGAGTAGTTTTGGGGAGTGTTGTTTGTTTAGGTGTCGTCATCTTGGTCCTAAACGTTGTTGGAACTGGCTTGGTAGTTGTTTCAGTAGATGTTGTTGTTGGTGTGGTTGTAGGAGCTTCGGTTGTCGTTGTTGTAGGTTGTGTAGTAGTAATTGTAGTGCTAGTTGTTGGTATTGACTTTGGTGATGTTGTTACAGAACTTGACGTCGGGGACCTGGTTGTCCTCCTCACCATGGTCATCGGTATGACAACAGGGGTGTTCTGTTTCTGTTCTTCACTCATATGAAGTTGTCTGTACAGAATAGGTCGGAAAATTTTCAGAAAATTTCTCATCAGTATGGCAATAGATTCAGTGGTTGTTGTAGGTAGCGTTGTTGTTGGCAATCCCGTAGTTGTTGTTGTTGGTACTGCTGTTGTTGTAGGTATTGTTGTCGTTGGTACTGTTGTTGTCGTTGTTATTGTTGTTGTTGGTTTTGTTGTTGTTGTCGGCATTGTTGTTGTTGTTGGTTCCTGTGAAGTTGTTGGAGGCTCAGTTGATGTCGTAGTTGACATGGTAGTTGTTGTTGTTGGAGCCTCCGTGGTAGTTGTTATTGTTGGAGTTTCAGTTGTCGTTGTAGAGGATCTGAAGGATGTACCAGTTTGCTTTATTTGAACTCTAGATGACCAAGGGTTTTGATTTATTTCTAGCAACTTCATTTTAAGATTTTCAATTTCCTTTTGCAACAACTGAAGTTTTAATTCTTGCATTTTGAATAAAAATGAAGACTTATCAACAGTCGTAGTTGCAGGCCGTGTCTGTTGTCGTGCAGTAGTTGGAGATGGTGTTGTGGTTGGAGATTGTGTAGTGGTTGGAGATTGTGTTGTGGTTGAGATTGCCACTGTAGGTGAAGTTGATAGAGTTGATTCTGTTGTTCTTGATTGAATTGGATAATTGCTTGACATTAGAGGCATTAAAGGTAGGAAACCCGACTTTTTCTTTTTCTGGTCGATTTTCTTTGGAAGCATTGAGGGGAGTAATCTGTTTCTCTGCTTTCCTTTAGGTGTTGTAGTTATCGTCGTGGACTGTGCTGAAGAAGATTTTATTTTTACATTTGAATGTTTATACATGTCTTCGTGGATAAGGTCTAAGTAAACAGGTTTTCGTGAGTCTGAAGCTAAATCTTGATTAGTCTCTAGCAGTTTGTCATGTAATTGCTTTTCTAGTAGATCGTAATTCTTTCCATCCATCACATTTTTGTGCATTTCTACTTGTACCATCTCAGTCTTAGGCTGTATCGTTGATGAAATGATTTTGTTAGATTCTGCAATGAAGGTTTCTAAGTTGATGCTTGGTGTGGTAGTATCAGGTTTACTTTTGGTGCTAAAAGAAGATCCAAAATCCTGTACTGATATGCCCCTCTTTCCAGTTGGTTCCGAGGTATCACTTCTACCTACTGTTGTCTCGGCAGATTTCAACTTTGGAAGAAGAGAATTCTCCTTCCGAATCTTTTTAAACTCATCTGGTTTAAACAATTCTTTGAATGCTAAAGCTGAATTTTCATCCATTGTAGTTTTTTGGGGTAATTGAGAAGAAGCAGATTCATCTGTTTTAATTGGTATCGTTGTTTTTATGCTTTGTGATACATTGTTCAATGTTGTCGACTTTGATACTGGTACTTGAGTATTTTGAACTTTTGTTTGTTTCAGAGTTTTATTGTCGGAGACGGGACTTTTGATTGTAGTTTTAAATTGTTTTCTGTTTTCTCTCATAGGTACGATTCCTGCTGCAGATGGAATTTTCTTTACTTTTAAAGAACTCTGAGGAAGCAATCCAGAGGTCAAGGTAGTTTTCATCTGAGTTGGACTTACCATAAGGTTTGAAGATGTTGGTGAGGAAGAAAACATTTCAATGTCTGTTGGGCTCGATGAATTTGTTTCCATGGTTGTTTGTATATCTATTGCCTTCGATGTCAAATAGGTTGATGGTTCTGCTGAAGTAGTCTTAGTTTTATCAATAGAAGCACGTCCCAAGAGGCCTCCAGATTCTGTTGATATAGTTTGAGGTGTAGTCATTGTTAGCACTTCTTCTGTTGTCATTTCTTCAATTGGGGTCGTGTCGGCTGTAGAAGGTATTTCCTTTATTGTGCTCTTTTTATCGTTTTTAATTGGAGGAAGAATAACAAAGTAATGTATGAACGGATTGTCTTCTATTAGAGGTATAGCAGTCGTTTGAATTCTTGTGAATTGATTAAGAGAATCTGTTTCTTCTGCCGTTGTCCTACGCCTACTACTATATGGGGAAGTGTAAAATGTACTTGGAATTGATGTTGTTCTGGTGGTTTTAGCATACGTTGGTGACCCAGAAGTAGATGTGGTAGTAGATTTGGTAGTCTTTGACGTTCTTTCCCACGGTCCCCACGCTGGTAAAAGTCCACTACTTTTCTTTGGCGATACCTTGGTTATTTCTTTTGTTGTTGTGGCCGAGGGAGCTAAAGTGCGACCTGTTGTTGCTGTTGTTTCCTTTACTGTAGTTTGTGTGCTTGGCAAAGCTTTACCTTGCGATGTTATTTGATTGAGAATGTTCTGTCTTTGTCTTTGAAGTCGTTTTATGGCTTCCATGAAAGAATCTTTCTGATCCTGTTGTTTTTTCTGCTGTGATGGATTGTTTCTGGGTACTTTAGTGACCTTCGTGACTGTGGTAGGGGCTTTTGTCGTTGTCGCTGTTGTTGTTGTTGTCGTTGTCGCTGTTGTTGTTGTTGTTTTTACAGTGACACGCTTGGAAGTCATTGATTTCTGTGTTTTAGAAGGGGTAATATCAGATGTTACTTTTGAAATATGTGTTTTTGGAGACACTCCTTTCATCTTCATTATGGCTTCCAAAAAAGCATTTTTCGCCAAATTTCGAACACCAGCTTTTTTAGGTTGTATTATCGAAGGAATTTTGCGAACAGTAGTTGGCGCTTTCGTGGTCTGTATAGTTGTCCTAGTTGTAGAGGTTGTTTGCGATTTAGGGAGTTTGTCGAAAATGTCATATTTAGACAGCTGTGGTTCCTTGAACTTACTCTCTTTTTCAAAAAGAGTATTGACAGAGGACATTTGGTCTTGGGGTTTTTCCATTTTCTTTACCCGGGTAACTTCCACGTTTCCATGGAACTCTCCTAGTTGTGGTTTATTGACATTAATTATTTCATCTAAACCCATTTTCTTCTTCTTAAAACGCCGAATTGCATCAAGAAAAGCATTTGAAGGAGCAGTTTTCTTAATAACTCCACTTTTAAAACTATCTACAGGCTTTTCTAGTTCATTAATACCGGAAGAATAACTGGGCTGCTGTTGCCATTGTTTTTGGAATAAAGTGTTGGTTTCTCTTGGAGCATTTCTCACCTTTTGATAGGCAATTGCAGGGCTGGCAGTGGCAGGAATCCTTTGATTCATCCTCGTAGTTTTGACTTTCGGAACTGTAGGACCTATAACTTTTCTGACTGTTTTATTAGGCACAGGAGATACATACAGTGGATTCGATGCAAAGTGATTCGGTGGGGGTCGAGTATTTCCCATTACATTGAGATTTTTGTTTCTGACATTAGTCTGCTGTTGTTTATTTTTCAATTGCATCATCTTAATCATTTCCAAAAATGTATTTCCACTTGTGGTGTATCGGGTAGGCGCAAGAGAAGTTACTTGACTTGTAGTGGGTGTCCGGGGGGTTGGCGGAGGGAGAAGTGGTTTTAGACTCTTTTTCTTCTTGGATTTCTTTTTTGATTTCCTTGCAGCTTGGCGTTTGGTTCTTTTGTGTGTATTGTGATCTATCACTACATCTGCACAGTTTATTGTGGTAAGTGCACATCCTGAGCACGTTGGGTCTCCTTTAAAATTATATAAGAGATTTTAAAATATATGTTTAAATCCATTCTAAAGATTCTTTTATAAACAGGTAAACAATATTTGTGATAAATGTTTAATAATCTATCATCATCAAATTGAAATATATACAGTTCATTGAATAGTATTACAAACAAGAGGCCCAGGGGCCACATCGCTCACCTGAGCAAATCGGCTAGGAAAAAGCACAGATCAGAACTGAGAAGTTCACTGAAGGGGGGAGGGGGTGAATTTTAATACTACTTGAGGTTGTCTTCATATTAATACAGCATATGACTTTGCTGTTCTTAATAAAGATTTTTCAAAAACATTTTCTTCCGATATATAACTTCATAATAATTTGAATTTGATTCCCATTGTTTCCCTCCCTACCCCAAAGGGTCATGATTTGAATAAATTTAAATCTTCAATACCTGAGGATGCTTAAATGTCAATATGACTAAACATTGCTTTTCTGTTCTTAGGATTTTTTCCTTTATTTTTCTATGGTTAAACTTTGATCCACCATTGTGGCCCCACCCTACCCTTGGGGGTTATGATTTGAACAAATTTAATTCTACACTACCCGAAAATGCTTCCATATAAATACTTTTAAGTATTACTAATCATAGCTTTGCTATTCTTTGGAAGATTTTTTTTTATATATATTTTAATGTAAAACTTGGATCCCCCACTGTGGCCCACCCTATCCCTGGGGGTTATGATTTGAACAAACTAGAATCTACACTACCTGAGGATGATTCCACATAAATATCACTAATCAAAGCTTTGAAGTACTTGAAAAGACGATTTTGAAAGATTTCCCTATCCAGTCCTATGTAGAACTTTGATCAGCCATCCCCCCCCCCCCAATCCCAAGGGGTCATGACTTGAACAAACTTGAATCTACACTACCTGAGGATGATTTCACATAAGTTTCATCTTTCCTGGTCCAGTGGTTCTTAAGCATGTTAAGAAGAAGATTTTAAAAGATTTTCCCTATATACTCCTATGTAAAAATTTATCGGCCATTTTGGCCCCACCCTATCCCTGGGGGTCATGAATTGAACAAACTTGAATCTACACTACCTGAGGATGCTTCCACATGAGTTTCATCTTTCCTGGCCCAGTGGTTCTTGAGAAGAAGATTTTGAAAGATTTTCCCTATATACTCCTATGTAAAACTTTGATCGGCCATTGTGGCCCCACCCTACCCCTGGGGGTCATTATTTGAACAAACTTAAATCCACACTACCTGAGGATGCTTCCACATGAGTTTTATCTTTCCTGGCCCAGTGGTTCTTGAGAAGAAGATTTTTAAAGATTTTCCCTATATACTCCTATGTAAAACTTTGATCGGCCATTGTGGCCCAATCCTACCCCCAGGGGTCATGGTTTGAACAAATTTGAATCTACACTACCTGAGGATGCTTCCACATGAGTTTTATCTTTCCTGGCCCAGTGGTTCTTGAGAAGAAGATTTTTGAAAAATGCCATTAATTTTTCACTAATTCATAATTATTTCCCCTTGGGAAAGGGCTTGGCCCTTCATTTGATCAAACTTGAATCCCCTTTACCTAAGGATACTTTGTGGCAAGTTTGGTTGAAATTGGCCCAGTGGTTCTTGAGAAGAAGACAAAAATGTGAAAAGTTTACGCCGACGCCGACGACGACGACAGACAACGGACAAATTTTGATCAGAAAAGCTCACTTGAGCCTTCGGCTCAGGTGAGCTAAAAATGTAAAACAAGCTGCTAGATGCATAATTCCTTTCCTTTTTCCTACTCATAAACAAACTTTTTACATCAAATTTTTGATTTATACGTACTTTCCGTTAGGCTCCATCTCAGAATACAGTGTGGACATGACAACCCTGGCGGAAGGATAACACTGGTCGTTAATTCACCAGAGGATGATATTGGTAACGTAAATGATTCCACTTCCGGAAAGTAAAGTTGTACATCCTGGAGACAAGCCTCGTTTTCATCTTTTGACGAATCATTACGAACACAGAGAGATAGTTGAACTGTGCCATATCTTATGTCATTTATTATGGCTGATAACTGTATTTCACTTCCCTCCAAATATCGAGTAGAAGGTGAGTTTGTTGTTTGAATTAATCCTTGTGGACCACAGTAACCACACTTTACATCCTACAAGAGAATGAACAGGCTGTAGACAGTGATAGTATATTACTTTTATTTTAAACAAGTAGATACATGTAATGTATAAATATCACTTTTTATTCATAATTATAATTTTTTAATCTTTTTACTTTCAATTTTTCATATCTTTTAAAAATTGTCTTTGTCTAACTTATTTTTAATATTTATATGAAAGAAAGTATCAACATAATCACTATGGAAATATCCACAGATGACTATGAAGTCTGCCGTTTTTTTTTTTATTTCAAGGTACAAGAGTCTAAATATCTTAGTTTTAAGGACAACAGTGTTAACTTATTAAAATCATATTTGATTGCATAACGACATACGTTATTTTAAATATGTAAATATTTCCCTCCCAGTTATTATAAATAATGTTTAGCATTCTCTTTAAAGAGTAAGAATGTTAACTTTGATTTTAATTTGACCTTGAAATCAATGTATGTTAATTGTTTTGCATTGAAAAAAATGCTTTGCTTATATAAGAATTATAGAAGAATTAAAAAATAGAGCTAGTAATGCCTCATTTAAATACCTCATTTTTTTATCATAAAGACAAAGTTCACAAAGTTGACTTTCTATGTATTTAATACAATTTTTTAAAATGCATTGTACCTGATTTTTTTCTGTGATATATGAAGATACTTGTTAAAAGTTTCACTGTTTTAAATTTGTTAAACAATTTTGACATTTTATTTCTAAAGGAAGCAAAGGGTCATTATATATTAGGAGTTCTTGGAATTTTTATTTATTAATTGCAGTTAAAAATATTAAACAATCTGTCATACAGATTAAAAAATGATGAGGAAATGGAACATATTATGAATAATAATGACATACATTTTTAACATGTTAAACATAAGTCAAGAAATTAAATAAATATCATAAAAATCAAAATTCTGACGAGAATCTTTTATATCTTTATAAAACCTAATTATATGACAGTTAATTGTCGTAGAAATGTCAAATGAGGGTTATTATCAATAAGAAATCTGACGGATAAAATTAATTTTTTTCATATTATATTTACTGGGGTCGGGTCAAAGCAAATTTACAACATAATAACATTTGATGATGCATTTAAAATTTATTAAATAATACATTTTATCATCAAATAAATATCGAATTAAAGTTGAAAACGTACATGTAATATATTTTGCATACAAACCCCTTTCAAACATATGTCACATATTTCAAACTACTTTAAACAGTTGTTATGGTACAAATATATTTGAATTCCGATTTGGTGAAATTTTAATATTATATGCTCATGATACCATTATGATTTGTAGCAGTTTTTCACGTAAAATTAAAAGAAAAAACGGTAAATGTCGCTATTTTTCCTAACAATCAATGCAAGTGAAAATTTTTGAAAATAGTTTCCAATCCCCCATTCAAATAGTGTCAAAAATGTGTTTAAACAAAAGAATTTACGTTCTTTTTAAACATAGGTCAAAATTACATATTGCGTTGAAACAAGGAGAAAGAAACCAAGAACGCAATGTTATTTTCCATGGCATTACCAAAAAATCGCTTTATCTGCAAATTTAATGTTTCAGTTCTCTAAAAATAAACAATTAACAGACGAATGGATCCCGTCCATATCACGATTCTAGACAGAGAATTCGTTTTCACCAACTGGCATTTCATTGCCGTTTAAAATTTTTTGTGATAAAGATATCAAAAGAATCGAAATTAATTAAAAACTGTTAACATTCCAACCACATACACATAATTTGCTCCAAATGACCTTTTATCCACCATCAAACTCCCAAAATAGACAAAAATGGAGATATACACGCAAAACGTGCCTTACGTATAGACAAGATGAATAAAAAAAAATGGCAGGAAATCGTAAACATTGCATGTGGTACATGTAGCTGGATTTTATGACCAAATATTAATTATGCAAGCCGTGATATTTAATTAATTGGACCGTGAATTGAATTAATGATGACAAGGTGCTTTAACTTATGCATTCTTATCAATGAACATAGCAGAGATCAAACACGACTCATCACACGCTAAAAAATCTAATGATCTGAAAAAGATCTAGTCTTAGAAACTGTTTTGATTTGATTCTGATTTACAAGTGATGTTTTTGAAGTGGTAGTTGTAAAAAATCTCAAAAATAAACTTATAAAATGTTATTCATTGTTTCTGTTTTGACATGTTTCATTCATTTTCAGCACTTCTCATTGTCAACTATAACGATATTATATATCAACCAGGGGTCTTAACATAAAGGGTACTTAAGTCTATGACCATGCTTAAGTAGGACTTAAGTACTATCTTAGTCACTAGAAGCGTGCTAAGATTTGACAATCTTTGCAAAACTTCAGCGGCCGGTAGAGGTGACTTAGGTATGACATGTATCTTATCTACATATTTAGAAGTAATAAACTTAAAACGTCTCGACGTCAAAACATTTCTTTGTTCATCTTATGCATGTAAGAAAATAATTTACCTCTGCAATACAGTGGTATAGGTGTTCAAGTTTTTATATATACTAAAAAACGTAATTGATTCATTTTTAAGCAATTTATGTAAATTACGTAAAAAACTAAGGTTATGTATGAGAAATAAAGTGAACCTAAGTTTGACTTAGCTAAGACCTAGCTTAGTTCGTTTTATGTTACGGTTTAAGACGTACTTAAGTAGTACTTAGGATTGTCCTAAGATTGCGCCTAAATCATACTGAAGACCCTGCTTAAGTAAAAAACTTAGCAAGCTTTATGTTACGAGCCCCTGAATGTTGAATTGTTCATGCACAGAGCAAAACAATTATCACCTTCTTTAGACCTAATTAATTGATTGATAGATAAATTAGATAGATAGATAGTAAAGATAGATATATAGCCTAGATAATATAAATAAACGCCAGATTTCTCAGAATTTGTTTTCCATGGCAGTGAGGGTTGAAATATGGAGATACAGAGTTGATTATTTTTACAGTCTTCGAACTATTCACTTCCTCTCTTTTGTGATTGGTAGAATTTGCATGATGAGAAAATTTTCAATTATTTCATTGGCTGAAATGGGATCCTATGCCAATGTTAAGACAAAGACTGCACCATATTTTTTTTTTTTACCTTGTAACCTCATTTCATAATTTTGTAAACTTCTGATTTTATTATGATTTGCTACATGTTTTGTTAATATTACACATGTTGTTTGGTATCGTGAATTATACTATACATTGACAAATTTAGAGTTTTTTTTTATTTACTAGCCTCTATTAATAAATGACCTTACAAATTCTAACCATGCGTTTTTATTTGTGTCAAACAGAGCACCGCAACATCAGGTGTCCATAAACAATGTAGTATCACATTTCAAATAGTTCTTCACAAATAAAAGTTACTTTCAAGGATCATTATTTTTTTTTTGGCTTGTCATTCAATCTTATATAAATGCTTGTAACATTAAATACGCCCATCATGATAATTATGTTTTTTTTCAATTGTTATTCGGAGAAAATAAACATCAAATAGCAATACGTTGTGGGGGGTGTTTCCAATACTTGAACAAATTTAATTGTAACTTCTATTTCCTCGTACATGTATCACTGATTCGAGAAACCAGAGGGAAAATAAAACAAATATCAATTGAAATTTATTCATAGACGCATCATCAAATAAAAAAAAACTATAGGAAAGAAATTTAAAAAAAAAATTGCACATAATTCGTCCGTTTTAAATCCATTAATTAAATTTCCTGCAGTGCTAAATGTCAAACATGGAAATTCACAAGTCCTCGTTTTTTAATCATATGACGTTGAATTTGATTTATTTTAGCCTAAAAATAATTTGACAAATTGAGTTCATTGCTTATATCTTATATATTCGTTATGCAGATTATTATTTTATGGATGAATAAAAATCCTATAATAAAATTTAATTTCATTTTTTTTTCTTGCTTGTAATAAAATATGTAAGTGTATATAAGAGTTTATGATATACGTTTATAGATATTTTTCTCATACTTTGACCTTGACATTTGTTATAATAAAAAAAATTTACGGAGAATTCCTTGTAAATCTGGTCAATTGATATTTAATCAACACTTTTTGAAAATACAATTACAATTACAATTATCAGTTACAATTACAAGTATATGCAAGATTTTCAATCAAAAATGAAAGTTTTCTTTTAAAACATGTATTCATTATATTTTTATTGATCTATTAATAGATGAATCTACTTCTAAATCAAACAGTTTTTAAAGCAACATAATAATAATACCTCATCAAGTAGAGAAAGAAGTATCGTCCTTTTCAAAGAATGAAAAGTTTTTAAATATTTAAATTTTTAATAAATCTGACAGATCTTACATAATTGATATCACGAAAATTTTTTTTGACACAAACTATTGTCAGTGCTTGTATATTTATTTGTAACCTTCCTTTCTGACAGCATAATATTACGCTAATTGTTTGTAAGAAAACTTGTCCGCGAATTAATTAGCGAAACTCCACGAAACGAGGACTAAATGCAATGCCATTAGGTGACCTCTCTAAATGATTAAGCACGTTTTACAGTGTTTTTTTTTCTCTAAAGGCTTGCTACAGGAATGGAAATTTATTTGAATAGTCTCTTGCGTATAAGGTATTATAAAGCTAGATAATGTGGTTTTTATATAAATGGATAAATCAGTCTTTGATTTGACAAGAAAGATTGTTAAACAAATTAAAGTTGTTCATCAAAGTCGGTTTTATTGTACAATAAATTATCTTGCTTTTGAAAACCAAGATCGCGTTGGATTTTGGTGATTATTCATAGAATGAATCTAAAATACTTCATTCTTGATTAATATTGATTAAACCTGATGAAATTACTTATCATCCCAACGTAATTACAAATGTCGAATTTTGCAAACAGTGCAACTCTTCTTTTGAAGCTTGTAGAAGTGATGAAGAAATATCAAACTTTAACAAAAAAAAAGATCAAGGATCGAGACAATATTTATTCATAATGTTCTGTAGAAAACAACTAAATAGTTATTGTAAAAATTCTTAGTTTTAATTCTTAAAGAGCTCTTTCTTATCTTGTATCTTTTATAAATTTAAGTTTTACTGGTAAAATAGCATTTGTATTTATACATGATTTACGTACTTCTACGAACAATAGACTTTTTTAAATTTAGTGTAAAACAGAGTCATTTTTAAAGTTTGATGAAGTGATTTATTTCAATATATAGTCATATAATCATAACAAATCAACGATGTTCAAATTGAAGATTTACGAAAATAACTAAATCAATACCAACCTCAGAGCATTTAAAACTTGCTTCTGTTAGATCGGGTACGGGATTCCCCAAAGTCTGCAACTTGTGTCTGGGAACAGGATAAAGAAGTTCTGAGTATGTTTGCACTGCTCTGCTAAATCCCTGTACTAAACACAGAAACAAAAATAGTCGAGCACACATTGTTAATAAATGTTTTTTGATTGAATAAATGTAAATGGGACGGTCCATTGAAATGATGAATATTAGAAACAGATGAAACTTTTTCCCTTCGAAAATAAAAATCAGAAAACTATCACATTGTTTCAAATCATTTCAAAACGGATCCCACTTCTAGGACTTCTTGTGGAACGTGTTACGCGTAAGAATACATCTTATGCTAATTTCCAGTTTTAAAAAAAGAACTACATTTCATTTTTCAATGACGGACACTTGAGTGCTTATGTAACAAGTGATGCGTGAGGACTCAAGTCAAAACCACATACAACTTCCCTTAAATTGACAATGCATCATTGAAATTGTCACGCTTCATAGGTACAAACTTTATTTCAAAGTTCAAAATATTCGAGATATAACTCTAGTAGAACTGTGTATGTTGTGCAAAATAATATTTATTTATTTGTGATTAGTTTTTTATGTTATTTGTGCAGAAAATTAATTAGGAGAAGATAATTAAATCTTCATTTGTACACGAAATGCATACATGTGTTTTATTACAAATATGAATGTGTCATCGTTTTAGGTAAATTAATCATAAACTGACATATCGTGCTACAGGAAACTTGTTCGAGAAAAGTAATCACAGCTACCTGAAGAACACACAAAAAGATTCTTTTCTTTGGGGATCGTAGTGTAGTATAGAATAGTATAGTATAGAATAGTATGGTATGGTATGGCATGGCAAGTAGATATCGTCAAATTGTTAGTTGTATATTATCATCGTTTCTGTTTCAAACATCTGTTTGCACAAAAGGAGAACAGAAAGTAATTCGGCAATCAAATCTCTCATTAAGTCACCATTTTGAAAAATATGATCAAAGTTCATAATATATTTTATTTGATAAACAGATTCTTAATTGTTGATAACCATATGCTTCAAAACTCAGGACACCATTCAAGGCACTGTAAGAAATGTAGAAATTGCAGCACCACCACCTGTCTTATATATTGAAAGTCGTTCATACAACCATTTTTCATATCTTCACGGAGTTTTCAATGTTTTAAAGGTGACCTACACCAAATAATGTATCCAAATGGACTAATTCAAAGAAGAAAATAATAACCCAGTTAAGGGGAAAATGCTTTTTAATATGTTTCCAGAACCTAGAGACAGCCAACGCTCACAGCGAAGACTCGGGGTTTATAGTTTATCCCCTGTTCGTCTATCTATTTGTCCGCAAAAACTTTAACCTTGCCATTAACATCTGAGTGGGTGGGGTTAATATAAAGGTTTCATATTTCACAGATGCATTGCTTGTGTCAAGTTCTTTCTTTGAACATCAACAAATAACGAATTTGATTTCTTTACTTTTGAGTTTGACCCACTTTTGAAAAAATTACCGAACTTTAACCTTGGTCAAAACCTTTGAACAAAACGTGATAGGGCTTTTAAATTTCACAGGTGTTTTCCTTGTGACAAGACCTCCTTTTGGATACAATCAATTTTTGACCTTTGACTTTAACCTACTTTGAAAATACATTAACTTTGGTAATAACATTTGGTGCAAGGGCTTTGATATTTCACTTTGATATTTCTTATTTCAAGTTCTTCCCCTTGGTATTATTAATTTTTACTCCTTGACTTTGACGTTGGAGTTTAGCCACACATAAGAAACAAGAGGCCCAGGGGTCACACACCCATTCTCAATATAAGGGCTCAAATAATGTCGCCTCATTTTCATTTAGAAGAAATACCACTAATGTAATTTTTAAATCAACATTATAAATAGTCATATAACAATGAATAAGAATTCATATAATTATCGATCTGAAAGGGTATTTAAGGAGTTCCAAATTCAAATATAATAGCCTATTTGAAATGTACGTTACTGTCGCCGAGGCAAATATTATGCTGAATCCCCTCTGTGTAATACATAGTTTTGATTCTCAAGTAAAAATTTTCTGATAAGTTAAACCTTGTATCATATATATTTCTTTTCATAACAATAAATACATTTTCTTTGTGATAATAAATATTTTTTATTGTGCAATGTCCCTGTCGCTTAATTCTATTTCAACCACATTACAAGCAAACACAAAGATTATACACCTGATAGTTTTGTTCTCCTTTATTTATTGATGGGCTAAATTTGAAATTTCAAAGGATTAATTACTCCTACTTAGATAATGCAACATGAAATTGAACAAGAGCAACTTTTTTAAATATGTTTACGGAATGAAAGACATTTTCAATCGTAGAGATAAGAAAGAAATGTACGTCCAACCCTATATTCTTCCATTAAGAATATATATTAAGTAAATCCATCAGACAACTCTTGTAATGAATAAGCAACCCCTTGTGTCCTGTAAACTGGCAAAGACGTTTTGCTTAACACAATTAAAAATTATTTTTTACATGAAAAGTGATCATTTGAAATGTACGTGACTGAAATGTACGTTACCATGAAATTCGAATTAAGTGAATCTCGCACGAATTTTCATGTATTCTCATATTTTCACACAATCAAGTGTGTACACAAAGGAAAGTTTTAAAGGTTGGAGGTCGGCTAAATCCCAAAATTATTGAAAAGAAACGTTTCTGCTGAGGAAAAAAAATATATTAAGGTCAATTATATGTAATATAATTTTGATACCTGGTATATGTTTCTGAATACGAAACCTGTATGATGCATTTCTTATGATATGCAAGTTCAACTAATATCAATATATTGCGTGTCTAACGTACGCAGTACAGTTAAGGTGCACAATGGAAATATCGGCTATATTTTGTATTTAAAAATGTATTCGTAATCGGGATGGCGATTATTTTGAGTACATTATTTATATCGGATAATTGTATTTATGATTAATAACTACATATCGAGGACAATTATATTTTATATTTAGACTAGTCACGTGATGCGGCAGTCACTCGATTTTAGGACATTGACTTGAAGTATTGATGTTACATAGAGAATAATACATACCCTTTTCCATATCACATCCTGTATCAGCCCGAGACACCAATATCAGCCAGAGGGCCGAAGGCCCGAGGGCTGATATTGGTCGAGGGCTGATACAGGATGTGATGTGGAAAAGGGTATGTTTTATTATATTTATTACATACTTAGTAATAAAATACAGAACACATTCAGTTGAGAAGAAAATAAGTAAATAACCATGCATGTACTTCTTACATACATGTACATAGTCTAATGTTTCATACGATTTGGGTTTGTTTCTACTTCTATTTCAATGCACTTGATCCGTAGTAATTTGAAAATAATCTATAGTATTACATGTATTTGTAAATTAAGATTAACCTTATTTTCAAAAAGTTAAAATTAAGAGAATATGAACCCACCAAAAATTGTATATGATCACAAGTACTGTTATTGTGGTTTAATTTACTAAGGGTGTGATATTGACGTCACAATAGCCCTATCAGCCCTGCAGGGCTGATATGGATTTGCAGGGCTGATACGGATATCAGCCCCGCAAATCCATATCAGCCCTGCAGGGCTGATACGGCTATTGTGACGTCAGCCATATCGCATATGCAAAAAACCTGTATTTATTACTAAGTGTGTAATAAATATAAATATCAATAGTGCAAGGGCATAACCAAGTTAAATTTCCCAAGTTTAGTATATAAATATTTTCAACATGTATCGTAGTTTCTAAAAAGTGCTGCGATCCTGTCTAAATTCTGCAATTTCATTGTTAAAATTATACTTGTATGACCGAATGCTATATTTTTTGCTGGTCAGCGGCATGAAATACTGATATAATTAAATTGTTTTTTAAGATTTCATCAGGATCGCAGCACTTTTCAGATACCTTATTAGTTCTACAGTTGAAATGTAAAAGCTTACTTTGATCCATAGAGTGTATGCCCTTGCACTAGATCGATTTATTAAGACCCCCCACATTAGCCTCCGATGTACTTGCATACAAATATACGGCAGTGTCAATTAAATACGTAATGTACAGAAAATACATTAATAAAATAACGAAGAAGACATTAAATTCAAGTTATTGTTCCATAGAATATCTGTAAATAATATTTTATTTAATTAGAGAATACATATTTTGTTGAGAAAATATTACTTGATCTGTCTCTCACTGCATACAAACTACGTCACGTTGTAAGAAATGACGTCACATTGACAAGTACCTTGTTTATAACTTGTTATGTGGGATTTAACTAACGACAAAACAACACGCTGTAATAAGTTTTTATGTAGTTTGATGATTTCTTACTGGTTAAATTAGCAGATAAACTCATTTTGTGGTATTTTAAAGAAATGTTGTATGACATATATTGGGTGCGTTCACAGTTCTGCCGTTGGTAGACAAAAGTTGCCGTTGGTAAAATTAATTACCATTGGCATGCCACTGGTACCAATGTTTCTTGCCAATGGTAGATTTTTCTGCAGACAGTCTAGAGTGTGGTTAGTGTTGGTAAATGACGTCACAGCTAGTTATCGACATGGCAACCAGCTAGAAACACAGGGATCCTGGATTTACAAGAATATAAACGATTTTTTCCTCTAATCCTTTTTAACAAATCATGTCAAAATCACATAAAAATCATATCAAACACTTATATTCATGATTTCGAAGTATGAATTAGACATGATCCATTAAATGGATTATATAAAACTCAAAGATATGGCAACTAAAGAAGTGTGATCCTTATGTGGTTTGTTTGTCGAATATGAGTCTGCTATGATTTTCTTGCGATTGTGGCATGTGCCAATAACTTAGAAGACAAAGAAATCTATAATTCAGTATTACCAACGTCTCCATTGGAATCCCATTGGTAACATTGGTAAAATTGTCACATTTGTATGCCAATAGCCGTTCAGGGTTTATTGGTACAGTTGGTACCATTGTCAAATTATTGCACCAATGGTATATTGAAAGTTGGTACTAATGGTAGAACTGTGAACGCACCCATTGTGTATGATGTCATAGTCAAGTTTTCCCGTACAAATTAGGCTCCGCCTCCTTTTTGTAACCTTAACTGTGCTGCGTACGCTTGTGGATGAGAATTGATTTTTATATTTGAAATGTACGTTACGTATGGTAACGTACATTTTGCTATTTCTAACTGACATTTTTTTTATTTAGTCAATGAATTGCGTTTACACGAGCGAAACAAAATTATCGTTACCATCCATTTGACAACTGACCACATAAATCTATCTAAATGCACCCCTAATCCTCGTAAATGTGGTAGACTGTTACCACATGCTAGAAAATTTATTTCCAAGTGTCTTAAATTCAT